ATTCCTCTATCAATGACTTAATTATCTGAAAGATTCGCCACAAACGCAACACTACTAACAAGAGTGACAACTCTTTGCCGCCACTCTCGTCGTGAAAGTCATGTAAATAGAAGACAAGACTTAATATAAAGATTATGTTAACGAGTATTGCGTCCAATAAGTCGAACGGCTGTCCAAATAGTTTGCATTTTCCGCTATATATGCGAAACAAAACCTATGGGTTTGCCATAAATACAATATATTTTAGGTTTTACTCTTGATTTGAGAAATAGATTCAATTCTTACTTCAATGAAGAAAAACGATATAATAGTCAAAGAGATATAAGACAATAGATGTCTGGCTGTGATGAGAGTGGGACTCAATTGAAGCGATGGATTCGTGTCAGAAGTGGTTGAGTTCGTAGTGTTTGTGCAGTCACTCAACGATCGCCACTTCGGGTCTTAATTACAAATCAGTGTCAATATTACAGTCAAATATATTCAATAGACATAGGGTTTGAATGAATTGATCCAATAATGTATGGATAATAAGTAAATTCATGGACAATATAGCGGCCAATGAATGTTATGGAAGTGACAGACAGTGGTAAGAAGTAATGGATGCAAACCTTGTATCCAATGCGAGTCAATGAGTATTTGTGATATAATGACAAAAGTGTCGATTAATACCAACACAACGATGANTAAATTCATGGACAATATAGCGGTCAATGAATGTTATGGAAGTGACAGACAGTGGTAAGAAGTAATGGATGCAAACCTTGTATCCAATGCGAGTCAATGAGTATTTGTGATATAATGACAAAAGTGTCGATTAATACCAACACAACGATGAGACCATTGAATATCTTGGAGTTCAATGCCTTCCAGATTCGGGTCACAACTCTTCGGGAGACAAACAAATGGCAAATGAGTCGACCATTGCATCAATGAATGCGAGACAATGACAATCATAGACAGTGTCTGTCAAGAGATCATGAATTACCTGTCGCTGTGGTCACCGTTGAGGTCGAGTCCAGCGAATCCCCAAAGAGATGGATCTGAGGTTCGGATCAAATGCTCTTTACTTTGAAACATATCTTTGTGTCCATGAATTGGTCAACACTTTGTCCGCATTTTGATTATCACAGACATTGTTCACTCATTGGATGACTACATGTTGGTCATGGATGTTGGCCGATGTGGACAGGGATCTAATTCGTGATGATTATAGTGAAGACAATGATAACAACTTAGTGTCAAACGAATCAAACAAATGAATGGAAATTCATTGATAAAAACAAATATTATTTTACTATTAATACTATTGTTAATACACTTACACTACCACCGCATACACCACACACTGCCCTCTATTGCACTCACACTCAATGCCATACTTATCAGAATCCTATGCATTCGCAGCCAACAGTCATATAACACCTGAATATAGCAATTGTGAGCACAAGTGGTGTCTTATAAGACAGTACTTCACATACACTAAGAATATTCTAATATTATATGCGCTAAACAATTGATTTAGTGTTCAATGCTTGTATATATAGTACTATATTACTGACCAATACTATACAGATATTCAATACTGTATTCAACAGTGGTTATTACGCTAAACTAGTAATTTATTTCATTATAAAATTGTAAATTGATTTTAATACCGTACAGTATTTTACAATTTTGTTATGTTTCTTGTAGTTATATAAATTTAGAATAACTTATTTATTTAAATAAATTTTTTAATCAAAATAATATTACAGTATTATTAAAATTCTTGTATCCAAATATTTATATCATATTATACCAATTACGAATATGGTGTAGTTTGTAAATTTTGATATAAAATATCAAATTATAATAGTTAATATAATTTATATAAATTTGAAAGTGTATAAACATTTTAAAAGTTTGTCGATATTAATAAGGAATAGAATTATTGTTTTGAATTACTAATACTTTTCTAGTGAACACTTTCTACTTTTCTATTTCTAAACATTTCTATTGAATTAGAAAAGTATTGAAAACCTAATGCATGGGTGCAAAAGTATAATGTAATTCATATTTAAGTTTTGATTTCTTTATAAAAAGCATAAATATTTAAGAATTTTATAAAAGAATTTTAAAACCGTTTGTTTTTTATAAGTTTAAACATATTTGGGTCAAAGTTTTACACAGAGTTTAAGATATTCGTTAGAGAAACCAAAATCAGTTAATCATAAAAATGCCTAATATTTTGCTAATCTCATTATCATTTAATTGCGCTAAAAACTTACAAAACAAACAAAACAAGATTTTGTTTTTAAATAATTAAGTAATTCGTTTGATTTGAGGAACAAACCATTTCCTTAAAACAAATCTATTAAACACTCATTTTATTTGTGACAAACACTCAATTAATTGTAAACCAAAATGTTGATTGATTGCACCTTTCATACAATATTGTTTGATTGTTCATAGATATCTGTCACAAGTATTTTTAAAATAAGTTTTAAAGTACTCTCAGTTTCAATTCAGTAGTAAAGCAAAACATTTTGTTTATAAAAATTAATTGAAAGCACACAAAATTAGTATCTTTTGTCATTTATTGTCGATTTTATCGTATTTTAGAGATATTTTTCAAAAAATCATAAATTTTTATATTACAGAGAATATCGATGAAATGGTATCACATTTAGTGAACACTTAAATATATGTGACATTTATTTGAATGATTTGTAAAATGTTTTCTAATTTCTTAGTCCTAATATCACAATTGAAAACACTATTAAAGCGATTGATATATTCAAGCGATTGTCTGAGTTGGAGCTAATGGATATTAATTGAGCCACTTTCGCACCCGAGTCGGCAGTCATGTCTTTGACGTTATCCCAGGTGCCGTTGTTTGGCATCGCCTCGATTCCCAGTATATAACATAAATAATTGTAGTGATCGGTCATCATTAGAGGGCCTGATGTGTAATTCCTCTTAAACCCTTTCAAACAAAATAAGTTATCATTATTTTTTCAAACTACATATTAAACGAGTATTTTCAATGAGTATGTAACCATTCATACCGGGGCCGCGAGCGTACATTATAGTCCTCATCTCTGGCACGTCGTACGGGTCGTAGCCGTGATGTCCACTAAATTGTGTGAGGGTTTAAAATTAGATTTTCTGCGAAACCGGTTTATTATATTTATGAAACACTTGCCCGTAGAGTACATCCCAAACAGGTTTAGTTTTAGATTCCTGTGAAAACTAAATTAGAAAATT